AGCCAAGATGATTGGTGAACAAGTTGCCATCGGCATGTATGGTCATGGACCAGTGACTCCAGGTCTGCCTCCAGATGGCTACCCAAAGACACCAGGCAGAACACCCATGGCTCCAACACCGGAAACCAAGACACCAGCATCACGAACACCAGTGGCAGTACCTATGCCTGCAACACCGGCACGGCCAGCACCCAAGACACCAGCAGCACCAGTGCGACCACCAGAACCTAAGAGTGCACCTCTAGACCCCAGAAGTCTGCGCAAGATCGATTTGGTGAAGGTTGGAGGTAGGCCTCCGGTTCTGTCGAAGGGTCCGGCATCCCACCATCGGCCATCAGGCCGTCTTCCAGGTCCTCTGAGCGAAGTGGGCCTGGTAGTGCGACTTGTCCCTTTTGAGCAAATCATCATCAGCCCACTGCTCCTTCAGTGCTCTCTCCACGGAGGTGACGGAGAATTCACCACGAATTGCAGCAAGCACGTTGGCGCGCTCTCCGGCATCAAGCCCTGAACGCTGAAGGAGAAGAAAACCTGTGAGGTGAAGATCTTTACCATGTTGATGAAGAACTAGCCCCAGTTGCAGAAGAAGTTGATGAAGAGGACTGGGAAGAAGCGGGCGATGAGTCAGACTTGGAAGAGGTGAATGGACCTGAATGCTTGTGGTGTGATGGAAAACAGGAAGATCGTGAGACTCCCAATCCCAGAGGCGATGAGGGGTGAACAGGCAGGAAACTTCCCACCAGGAGCCCATGAGATCGAGACAAGTCCAAAGAGGCAGAAGATGGAGGAGGTCGTGGGCAACCTGGCGCCGGTGACACCACCGTTGGGCACAAAGAGAGAATACGCCCTACCTTGGGATGATGAGGATGATGAAAAGAGGAGGATGAGCCCAAAGAGACGTGTGAGAAGCATTCAGGAGGACTTTCCAGGTGGCGATGAGCTGATTGGTGAGGCAATCTTGCAGGATGAGCTCAACAAGATCAGTGATGACGAAGTTGAGGAGAAAGGCGTTGGGAAACCACCAGAAGTCAGCGAGGAACAATGTGAGTTCCTGTCTCCTGGGAACAATGGACGAAGGAATCCTGTTCGAACATGGACCGAAAGGCAGCATCATGCTGAATGATGATGAGAACGTCTATGAATGGGACCTCAATGAAGAGAAGAAGGCATGCTCGAAGTGGTCTGTGACGCCGACTATGCAGGCCAACGTGACACAAGGAAGAGTGTGAGCTCAGTCCAGATCTTCCTGGATGGATGCCTGCTGGAGAGCTACGTGAAGAGTCAAAGAGCAATAGCACTCTTGTCAGGGGAGAGTGAATACGTGGCCATGGTTGGAGGATGCAGTGAAGGCCTGTTCCTCAGACATTGCTGGAAGTTCTTGACCAACGAGGACCTGGACATGGTGTGCCGCAGCGAATCATCTGCAGCCAGGTCTCTGGCAGGCTGCGTTGGTGTCGGACGGACACGCCGCATTGCAGCGGGCTTGTTGTGGCTCCAGCAAAAGGTGAGCTTGAAGGAGTTGAGGATCACAGGAATTCCAACAGCTGTGAACACCAGCGACATTGGGACCAAGATCTCAAGTAAGGCCAGGATGAGTGGCCTGAAGTACTTGATCAAGATGGTTGACGGCGATGACGAGAAGATCGGCAAGTCCCATTATCAGGAGATAAAGTCAAAGGAGGAGCTCACGAAGAACACAAGAAAGATGGCGAAGATGATGGGTGCAAACGCAAAGGTGGCATTGTTGATTGCTTTGTCACTACTACAAGGAGGACAGGGAGCAGAAGCTGAGCACCCAGAGGTTGAAGAAGAGGAGAACGATGAGGCTTGGTGGATTCGGCCATTGATCACCATGATCTGCTTGGCCAGCATCGGGGCCTTGAGCTTGGCACGGATGGCCATTGAAGCTATGAAGACGTGGTGCCTTGGGAGACGAGTTCATGGAGAGCCCATCGAGGAGAATGAAGATGAAGGAAGAGTTGATGAAGTGGCCACGCCGCTTGTGAGAAGTGGAATGAGACCCAACCTGCACAGCCTCAGCAAGAAGAAGACCAGGAGAAAGTCAACATGCAGTGGCAAATCATTCACCTAGAGGTGGCAATCGCCGAACAGGAGGAAAAGTTGAATGACGCCCGACGAGATCAAAACCTACAAGCACGTGAAGTGGTCCGCATGTACAACATGTGTGCGGATCTACGCTTTGAGCTCGAGAATGTGACGAATGAAAGGGATGAAGCCAAGAAGAAGCCGGAACAGAAGATGAGCGAGCAAGGGAGATGGAAAGAATGGCAGAAGATGCCGCAAAGGCTTGGGAAGTCACGGAACTATGGAAGAAGAGAGCAAAAGAATGTGAGCAAGAAACTCAAGAGAAGATGGTCGAGAAGATGCGAACAGCTCGTTTCACACAGCGTGTGTTACCACCAACCAAGGTGCGGACACTTGGCCAATAGCGCCGCAACCAAAATGCTCAAGCCATGCGCGCACTGTGTTCCAGACGCCATAGGGGCGGCGTTAGAGTATGAATCATTTCCAACAGACTGATGGCATGCTGGAACACATAGGATCTACGCAGTGAACTGCAGGCCTTAAACCGAGGTAGCAAAACGGCGCTTACCTTGTTTCAACTCTTGCTTTTGCTTTTGCAGTGTCCTGGTAGGTGGAGGAGTCCGGAACCTCTTCATCATCATGGTCACAGTCCCAAGTGTCATCACTCTGGCAATCTCGGTTTGTGAGCCACACTGAGACAGAACAAGTTGTCGTTGTTCTGCCGTGAACCCAGCCCTTCTGAGTGGCAACCAGCCAGTGATCGCGTCGGGGATCTTGATGCGGTTTTTGCGGGTTTTGCTGACATAGAGGAGAAGAAAAACAGTTCTCCATGGCACGTGGTGCTTCCACCCGTGCGCCACACTTGAAAGGTGCGAGGAAAGCCGTCCTCGCTTTTTGCCAGCTTTTCTGCCTGTGATTCGACTTGTCGCCAAGCCACACCCGTCAAGGATGCAAACAAGATGATCGTGGTTTCTTTGTCCTTGTGCTGGAGGGCCATTTTCTAACCATACAACACGATGCGAACACGCTGTTCCTTGTAATTCTTGGTGGATTTGTCAAACAGCGGGATGAAGTTGTCCTTAGTCACTTCAAGTCCTTGGGATCCTTCAGAACCGGAGCCAGTGCCTGACATTCTTCTTGGTCAGGGTCGTTGAGAAGACGGAGTAGCGCAGGTTGATGGTGCCGGTCAGCTACCGATGCTGAGATAGCACTGGCAGCACCAGGGGTTGGAGTAGAAGTGAAAGTAGGTTGGTAGGAAACTTGGAGGTGAAGGCAGAAGGTTCCAAAACTATCCCTTGCAACCCAGCGCGCGAAGTCCAGGCTCTATTTTTCCTTGTGCTCTGCGAGGCGGTTTAACTTCGGTGCATAGCCATGTGGCCTGAGCAGCGCGGCCCACCCTGATGTTGGGCCCAAAGGTGCAAAATAAGAATGAATACTCAGGTGGCATGTGCATGAAAACATGTCGAATCCATGTTGATCGAGTCAACTTGACCAAGCCTTTGTGCCAACCTAGGGCCTAGTGACTAGTGATCGCGAGTAACGGTCGGAACCTTTTTGCAGACGTTTTTGGTTTGCACTTCAATGTGTGTTGCACTTTGACCCGCAATCTTGCCATGACAGCGTGGTGTGCTCGGCTCAAGCCACTCTCAATATGTGAATATGCGGCGAAATGAAATGGTAATTTACTGCGATAGCCTTGGATGGTCGGGAACAGTGCAAAACATGTTGCGTCCCCAACATTGGTGACAAATTTTCCACCTTTCCTTTAGCGAAACCAAACTTAAAACCAAGCAATCAGTGTCCTTTGTTGTCCTGAATATAAAGTTAGAGTTTCTGCATTCGACAGCGTCATGCGGTTTCTGGCGGGCTGTGTCCTTGGTTTTGCATCTGGGATGTCTGCCACGATGATATCATTCCGCTTCTCGTCGCTTGCCATGAACGTGTAGCCAGTTTGGGCAATCGTCCCACTTTTGACATTCTTTTGTTGTCACTCACACGTACGTTTTTGTTTTTGGCCGCTGTTAGACTGCAAGCTTACTTTGGTCGATCCAGGCTCACCTGTCATGATTTGAGGCCTATCTCCAATTTGAAGGGTTTCATTGTACCAACCACCGCAACCGCGGCTGAATCTGAGCCTGAGCCACTTGGCATCAGACGTGCATTTTCCCACATTTGTTTCCATACAGTTTGCACAGTGGTCACCCTCACACAAGGTTTCAGATTAATTCCATCGCATGGTTCAAGTGTTGCTGCACGGCTCATCATTCGCCTGTACACATTTCACTTGGTTTATCGATTGGTCAACGACCTCAACGACACACCAACCCTATTTGTGTTGTGCCCCGCTGTCTCAAGTTTTTTGTCCAATCTGCCTGTCGTGTTTTTTTGACCAATTTTTGTATAAAAAGGCCGGTGGATGCAGATCCTGCCTATCACGCAGCTGATGAAGGGGGTGCGGACAATGAGGATGATGTGGGACCTTTTGAGTGTCCAGAAGGGTTAACGAACATCACCACTTTGATCAAGCGGAGTGGACCCTTGCCCAACATGTTGGCTTTTCACTTGAGCATGAATTTCCATACCACGACAAATTGTTCCGAAGGTCGTTCTATTTGTGGATTTGAAAGAGCTAAGGATCTGATAAGTTTTCTACGCATCGCTACGATCGTTATTATGAGCACTGGCTGAAAGACAAGAGATGCAAACCTGGCTTGAAGATAGTGGAGATTGGGGCTGAGCACGGGCGCTCCTTGAAGATTTGGAATGACTACTTCACTTCTCCTAAGACAGTTTTGGGTGTGGCCTACGGCAAAGATGCAGGTGGAGTAGAGAAGACACTTGGACCCAAGACTTCCGTGATATGGGCGGATCTTTCAAACAATGAAACGATCCAGGATCTCATTTCACGAGGGCCTTGGGATATAATCATTGATGATGGTTCTCATGAACCATCTCATATGATCTACTCTTTGTTCTCCCTATGGAAGTCACTCAAGCCTGGCGGCCTCTACATCATTGAAACTTAGCTGTTGTGAGAACCTTTTAAACATTTCATTTGTCCACCGTCACTGAATGTTTTTGTCCTTCACCTTGCTTTGCTCAGTGCCCACTTGCTTTGGGACAAAGCCCTTCGCAGTTCAGGAAGACTTAGAGACAAACTACTGGCGTCACGGAAAGGTGGTCTACGGATACGAGCTGAAGAATACCGGAATTGGCACAACGGCAAAGTGGTCTGCCGTCAAAAAGATAGAACAGATGCTCAGCTGCCGGTACATTTTCTGTTTTGTGGTATTATTGAATCAGCACTGTCGTCTCCTGTGTAGCTAGTTGAGGTGCGTTTGGAGGATCTATATAGCTCTTCTTTGCAAGGATGCATTTTCAAAGGGCTGGAATAAGAGCAAGATATTTTTATTAGGTGCTCACACACATAATGCTGGATACGGGGTGCACTGTAGGGTTCGGTCGATGTTCTGTTGATGTTGCGGAACTCTTGCTGACACAGTTGACTCAAAACCCCTGAAACATGGTTGTTTGAACCCCTCTCCAGAATTGGCAAGAATGCATTAGCCTGTTTGCAGTCCAGTATTGGAGGCTCCCCGTTCCTTGCAAACACTTGAGGGAGCGTCTGTAGCTAAAGCCCTTTCAAAATTCCAGGCAGCCTGGCCTAGGAATTTCTTTTTTAAGACACGACAAAGAATTCCTGTTTGAATTGGTTTTAACGGGAAGGAAAAACAACTTCTTTTGGGTTTACAGGGAAGACAACAAATGTCTGTTTCTGAACATTTCAGTGCCTTTTGAGGGTGCTCTCAGTGATTTTGTGCCGTTGACATTGAGCACTCGGCCAATCTCAAACAGAAGGATCTGAACAGAAGGATCTGAAAGGGAATCATTGGCTAAGCAATAGGAAGCATAGTTGAGAATTAAAGGACTCAGGCACATGAGACAAGACAAATAAGACAGCTAACCAAGGATCTCAAAAGGGAACCTGGGATTAAGCATTGGAAAGCTTAGCTGCGCTCAGATTCCCTTGTTGCAAGCGCTCCAAGCTCAAGCCCTTACATTGTTCCATTTTTTTCTCCCTTTTGAGGTGCTTGTGGACTTCCCCTTTGAACAGTTGTTTTGGGCAATTTTTGGATGAGCTTAATCACTATTTGTTTTGAAGCAATTCGGGTCAAAGTCCGGGGACTCAGGCAATTCTCGGCCCAGGACCAGTATGGTGCGAACAACCTCACAGTGCAGAGGTGGTTGTTAACTTGTTAACAACCAAGAGAGACGGGAAAGCACATAAGCAAACTCAGCTAATTACTAAAAAACATGTGGGCTTCGTTGTGCCTAGTAGATCACAGGCTGCATGGCCCTGCTTCTATGCAGATTTTGCAAAATCACTTGGAAACAGATCTGATTTTTACACACATGATCAATGATTGCACATGAGATGCACAACAGCATACCTAGATCTGTGGATAGGACCAGAGTGGCATTGAGAGCGTGTATAATACACAAGAAACCCTCCATGAATCACTTTCTTACATTGTTGGGCCGCTTGGGTTTGGGCAACCATGTCACTCAGGATCACTCAAGTCCTAGCCCGCCACCAAATTGGTGCGAAGAACTTGACCGTCATGCCTGGTGATGAATCTCTATGTTCAGTGGAGTGGGGTATGAACATCGTGAAGCTACGGAAGTGTACTCCAGAGGAACGAGCTTTCAATCCGAAGATGAATCATGTAATTTGCTTTGACAGGAAGGCAGGGTGGGAGCCGTGAGTTGGCGATATCAAACTTCATGCGTCGGCGGCTTTTCGCATATTTGCGGACTGCTATGCGAAAGAATCAACCATCATCCATTCTTCAAAGACCTCGGGTTTGACCCAATTTCACCCAGCAAATCGAACCTTGCCACAAACTTGAAACCATCTCCCTTGATGGTAATCCTTGAGAACATGGAACCTGAATAATTTTGTGGACTTTCATGACTCGACTCTAACAACCTTGCAGAGTTTTTAAAATAAATACTTTGTGTTTGTGCATCCAACCCTGCCAGAAGATGGATGCGTGGATTGAAGAGGCCAAATCGACCAATCCAACTGTTTGAGAGCCCTACTTGCTCACCTCCAGGGGTGGAATTCAAGCATGAGGCCGCAACAGTGTAGGCCTGAAGGGTCTTAGGCAATAGGTAAACAACATACTGATGTTTCTGCCCAGTACATTTATGTAAACATTTGGCGTGTGGTCAGGATTCTTGTTACATAAGCCATGCAAAGTTGTGGTGACCTGGTGTTTGAAAAGTGTTTTCTTAAACTTGCATTCCAAGCACAGACAGGTGTGCTTGGCAAGCGAATGTCCAATGGTGGTTAGCAGCCAAAATGGTTGTAGTTTTCGCAGATCAAAGACGAGGGAGGCTTGCTTGCCTGCCTCAATCTGGCGGTAGGATAATGCATTTTAATTTGCCGAGGGTGCTAACCCAACCCCTGAGCTCCAGCAAAGAGCGCGGTTGAGCTCTTTTGACAGGACACAGCTCTTTGTTCCTGCAGAATTTGCTTCATGAGCTTGAGTGCTTTTCAAGCAGCCTTACTTCATTTTACTTCATCGAAGCATCGTCGTATATGTAGAATAGATAGGCCCACACTCTTGCGATTTTGTTTGTTGCTTTCTTCTTTCAACTTCCTTGGATAGCTGGAGGTGCCAGGAGAGGCGACTTGCTCTCTCAGGTGTGTGTTACTATTTGTGAGCATTGTTTCAGGAGACCTCAGAGATAAGAAGGACCGCACATTGACTGGACCACTTGCTGGGGATCATTTCATTTCTCGTCAAAGAAAACAGGTAGAGCATGTTCAAGGGCTTGGCTGGCTACCTGCAAGGTGAGTTGATCTCAGCTTGGCTGGGAAGAGCTTTCACAAGACTTGAACTCCACAATAGTACTGTAGTTCCAACCTTCAGCCCACCTTGTTCTAGACTTCAAGCATTTCACCATGTTGTGGCCTGCATGTCGCTCCAGATTTTATGGCTGTCAGATATAGGCCACTGTTGCTCCTTCTGGCAGCCTTGTGCTTGGCGATTTGCAGACAAATCATAAACCCAAGTAGCAAGATGCCTATTTGTTTTGCCAAGATGGATGTCAGAGTCCAAAGAGCTTTGATACAGCGGGTTGACAAGATGCTGACGACATCCTGCGGAGTGGCTGCGAATTCTCAGGTTCCAATTATCATTTCCGTCAGTGGCGGCCTGGATTCAGTCGCTCTACTTCGCTTGGTTCATCGAATTGCCTCCAGGTGGGGAAAGTTAACTCTTTACTTATTGCTTCCGCTTTTCACGTGTTTCGTCCACACTTGATTTCACAACTGGATTTCCTGAAAAGGCACCCGTGGCGGCTGCATGTACTTCACTTTAACCATGGCTTGAGACCTGAAGCTGTGACAGAGGAAGCCTTTGTTCAGGAGCTGAGCAAGTCTTTGGAGCTGCCGTTCTTCGTACGTTATGGAGACCCGCAACGTTTGAAAACTTCTAAGTTGGGGCTGCAAGCAGCTGCGCGAGACTGGCGACAAGGAGAATCCAAAGCATTACTTTCTGCTTTGGAAAAGGATGAGGATGGCGTGGTTTTGCTCGCACACCATGCAGATGATCAGGTGGGTTCTAGTTTCTTTTTTCACCTTCTTTCGTGTTGCTTCCCAGTCGTGTCGAAACAAAGCTCCATGTGGCCCGTTTTCCCTCAGGTGGAAACGCAACTGTTGAAGCTTCTGCGTGGTGGACACTTGGCCCGGCTGGGTGGCATGCGTGCCCGAGAAGGACCCTTTGCAAGGCCTCTGCTCAGCACTCGGAAGGACGAGCTGAAAGCTTTCCTGTGCGAAGAAAACCAGTCGTGGATGGAAGACGCTTCCAATGCTCAGCCAGTCTACCAGCGGAATCGTGTGCGCTTGGAGCTGGTGCCAATGCTTGTGGATCTCTTGGGTGGAAAAGATGCATTGCACAATCGGTTTCAGGAAATTGCCCAGCAAAGTGGACAGCTTTCCTCTCTTTTGGAGGAGTTGTGTGAGCAGAACCATGGTCCAGAATACTCATCGAATGCCAAACAGGGCACGAAACATGCTCCAGGGTACGAAGTCCCATTGGCTTTCTGTCTAGACGTGTCATCCTTCCAGGATCTTCCGGAGATGGTCCAATATGAATTCGTTTGGCGTTTTGTGTCAAACGCATGCGGTGCTATGCTGAGCCATTCAGCTGTCGGGAGTATTGTGCGAAGTATTCTGAGCGACCAGAGAGCAGTGCCCTTTACTTGGCTTTTAGGTTCTGGCTGGGAGCTGAAGCAAAAAGGATCTCAGCTGCTCGTTCTGAGAAAAGATCAACACATCTGTGAGCGGACATGGAAAGTTATGGATCTATTCATCGTTCATTCTTCGCCGTTGCATATCTCCATGCAGCTGGAGCGGAGCAACGAGAGTTTCAATGAGAGTGTCAATGGCATGAGTGTCAATGATAGTTTTGAAAGCAAAATGATTCTTCATGGCGTTGCCAATGGAAGCACTATTACACTTCGGGGTGCACAACCTGGCGACCATGTTTGCCCCCGGCTGGGGTCACGAGCCATCAAACTGACATCTTTCCTCCATCGTGAACTGGGAGTAGTTCCGAGTGCAAGGCCCAATTGGCCAGTCATCACAATCAAAGCCCCGGGAGGTGAGGAAGTGATCGCAGCCGTGCTCCCAGATCGCGTAGCAGGCGGTTTCCAAGTCAGGGCCAGACAAACTGCTGGAGCAAACCGTTCAACTGGGCCGAGTGAGCTGCCTGCAGTCGTCTCTTTGAGTTGGAGTCAGAGCTGGCCGGGCCTGGAAAAATCAGTGCTGTAGGTCCGCGTGTCGACATGATAATGTTGTTGTAGTGTTCCTTTGTAGAAAAAAGACTCTAAGGAACCTACAAAGAATAGCGATGGCCTCCAGCCTATATAGTAGCCATGGCTTCCAACCTAAATAGCGGTGGCATGATGGGGTGATGATGTTGGCTAATGACACGAACGGAGTGGGAATTGAAGTGAGCAGTTGCCTACTAACTACACCTTCCAGTTGCTCTTTCCACCCGCTCTACTCTGCACCAACGGTCCCAGATGGAGTCAGGTATTGACATTATATATATACATTGCAATGAGTGATGCCTCTACGTAGTGGAGCCACGACTATATGTCCCCCCTACTCTTCGTAGCTGTTTGGCTGAAGGGCAACTGTTCACCCCCCCGCCAGCGGGATGTGGCTGGCGGGGGGTGTCGATCGTGAGAAATGGTTCAACCACCGATTTGCTCCTGGGCAGTTGGTGGAGTGCGGCATTCGTGACAACGAAGGCCATGCACAGGGCACCGTGATCTTGGAGATCGCAGCGGCTTTGTCCACCGATGATCAAGGGCATTGGGTGACAGCCAAGTTCCTCGGGGCCAGTGATGCCCATATGCAATGGTGGATGTCTGAAGGTGCTGGCAAGAAACTTGCTGCCAAATGTGCCTACCACTTCTGCGAAGATTCTTCGCATGATTGCAAGGTCAGCAGACGTGGAGCCTCGATCCATGTAGAGAAGTTCAGGGTGCTGGGCCAAAAGGAGGTCAACAACCATGTGCCTTCTTGGGCCTTTGCCAAATCAATGGGCAAGCACTTCATGGACTTCTTGAAGAAGAAAGGCATGGAGCCCAAAGCTGAGGAGGCCAAAGGCGCTTTACCCTGGGTGGACCCAGGTGAAGAAGCTTCGGAGGAAGAGGAAGAAGAAAGCAGTGGGAGTCGTGAGAAGGAGGGCCTCAAGTCGAAGCTCCTGAAGGCACGAGACATGGTCAAACGCCTTGAGCGAGAGTTGTCAGGAAAGAAGAAAGCCTCAAAGAGTGGCGGCATCAAGGCAAAGAAGGAGAAGGTCAAGCGCAAGAAGAAGGTGGAGCCTGACGCCGAGGTAAAGAAGAAGCGAAAGAAGGAGAAGAAGTCACCCTCCCCTGGAGGTGGAAAGAAGAAGAAGCGGAAGGCCGCTGGAGCAGATGAAGAGCGAGACAAGGAGGCCCGAGTTGCCAAGAAGAAGAAGAAAGACATTGAGGAGTCCTCCTCTTACAGTGAAGAAGAGGAGGAGGGCTTGTTTGGTGAAGGCACTGAGGGCAAGGCGTCATCCTCGGCAAAGAAGGGCCAACGTGATCGTGGACCCTTCGGGGGTGGTGACATCGTCAGGTACCAAGGGGAGTCCTCTAGCGAGTCAGAGGCAGTTTTTCGCGAAGCCCCCACAGTCCCAAAGGCATCAAACCAACTCAAGTTGATGCAGTACGCAAAGAGAACACCGGGCCGCCTGGCTTCAAGACTCCTCTTGAAGATGCAGGTCGAGGGAGCCCAAGGGGCTGTGGGGGCGAACCCCGCGGATCGAGGAGAGCTGACCCCGCCAGCGGCCGTGCACTATTTCCACACGATGATAGTGCCGCAGCTGGGACAGCGCCTAGGGATGAGAGCGCATCGGGAGATGAGGGCGTTGCGCACAGCACTGGACATGTTGGCCAGAAAGCTGCCAGCCCACGCAGCGGACCTACTGGGGCAGCGCCTCAAGGCCATCGAGAAGAGCTGCCACGACGGGCACTGGCAGGCAGCCCAATTCCTGGAGCTTCTGGGTCCGGACGCAGGCGGCCTCCTGGAGAGGGACGAGGAGGTCTTCATGAACCGGGAGCATCTGTTGGAGCTGAAGTTGAAAGGGTTCAGCAACCCGAGAGCCGGCAAGGACGGAAAAGGAAGCCAAGAGAAGGGCGGCCGGAAAGGGAAAGAGAGAGGAAAAGGCAAAGGAGGAGAAAGGGAGAAGGAGAAGAAGGACTAGTTCCTGCAGAAGTCACCAGGGAGCCCTCTCCGCCCCCTGTGCCATCAAGTCCTGGCGATCTGAGGAGCTACCTCGCTGAAGAGCGCTCGCCGGTGGAGTTGTTCTATGGCTTGTGGAGGACTTTTGAGGGCAAGGATTCGCCGCTGTGTCGCCTAGCGCAGTTGGGTCGAAGTCAAGGAGCGCCTCTCGAGGAGAAATCCTCCAAATCGTTGCGGGGCGATGAGCTGCTGCCCATTAACCCACAAGCGGCGATCGCCTACTTGCAGGCGCACGGCGAGGTGAAGGCTCAGGGTGTTGCGGGCATGGTGACTGCCCTGAATTTGCTCGCAAGGTCACAAGGCCATGGAGGTTGGTCGAACCCGGAAGTCAAGGCTGACCTCACTCAGGCACAGAAGCTTACTGTAGATCACTTGAGGCGTGCTCTGGACTATGTGGAGGAGCGGAAGCTGAAGTGTGGTCGATTCAAGCAGACAGCGAAGCGCCTGGCTGATGTGCGCTTTGACTACCAGGGAGAGCCTGTGGTCGTGATGGAGGATATCATGGCAGACAAGGTGATAGCGGCTTGGCCTGGGGTGGGTCAGGCGGCAGTCCAAGATGCCTTATCATTCCTCCCCGAGAAGTTGAAGGCGAAGCTTCTGGACCCGACCTCGTGTCTCAGGCCTGTTCATGAGTGGCCGAGTGAGCCCCATCAGTCCAAAGTGAGGGCTTCCGATGAGGAATGGAAGAAGGTGGTTAGTGCTGCCTATGAGCGTGGTCTGATGGTGGCAGTGGAGTGTGAGGAGGTCTTCAAGGACCAGAAGGGAAGACCTGTCCTTAATGGTGCAGGTGCAGTGAAGAAGGAGAAGAAGGTGAATGGGAAAGTGGTGAGCGCTCAAAGGTTCATCAGCAACTTGATCCCGAGCAACATGTTCCAGGACCGCCTGGATGGCGATGATAAGCTTCTGCCCTACCTGGGGCAATTCACCCTCCTGGAGCAGGAGGAGGATGAAGTTTGGTTGGTTGATTCTGAAGACTTCACAAGCTGCTTCAACCTCTTTCGGCTGCCCCCGGTTTGGCACAAGTTCATGGCCTTTGAAAAGCCAGTGGATGCATCGCTGCTGGGAGGAGTAGCAGGAAAGATGGTTTACCCAGCAATGGCGGTGTTGCCGATGGGCTGGGTAAGCAGCGTGGCTGTGGTGCAGAGCATTGTGAGGTCGTTGGTTTTCAAGGAGGCTGAGATCCCCGTGGAGTCCGAGGTAGCAAAGACTCAGCCCCTGCCGGCAGATGAAGATCTCACGGTCATCTATCTGGATTCATATGACCAGTTGAGGAAATTCAAGAAAGGCTGCCAGGAGGTTTTGAGTCCCGAGATGTCGGAAAGGCACAAGCGCTTCCTGCGGGTTTGCGAGGACCTGGCACTGCCGCTCAACGATGGTAAGAGGCTGGTGGCTTCGACATTAGGCGCTTTGCAGGGCGGTGAATTGGACGGGGAAGACGGCCGCTACGGGTTGGCGGTCCAGAAGATGGTGGACGTGATGTCTCTGGGAGCAACCCTTCTGGCCAAAGAGAAGTGGACAGAGGCAGAACTGAGGCACTTCGTAGGGAAGGCAACTTTTGGATGCTGCTTCAGGAGGCCCCTCTTCTCCATCCTCGAGAGTGTGTTCGAGGAGATCAGCGAGAGAGCCAGGATGAGTGACAGGGAGGTGCCCCGACAGGAGAGTTGGGATGAAGTGGCCATGATGGTGCTTCTGTCACCGCTCATGTACACGTATTTGAAGGCCCGAATAGACCCAGAAGTGTCAGTCACAGATGCATCACCAACAGGTGGTGGGGCCGCCACGGCTGTCGAGTTCCAAGCTGAGCCGTGCACTATCGAGAGGGACCCAGCGGTTTGTGCTCAATGCGGCAAAGACATTCCGGGACATGACCGTTACCCGTGTCCAGCGGTGTGTGGGGCCACACTGTGCTCACTCTCGTGTGTGTTGACGCACCGGGAAGGCGATGAGGTCTGTCCCCGGAGTACTTGGAGAATCCCCAAGTTCGGAGAGAGGTTCGCTGGCAGGCGAGCACCGTTGAGTCACGCAGTGGCCATGGTGGGCAAGGTTGAAGTCCAACCACCTTACGACTGGTTTTTTGGTGACAACTTCTTCACACCTGAAGGGAAGCAGTCGTTGGCCGATCTCATGGATGACCCTTGCTTAGCTGTGGAGCATTGGGCGCCTGAGTGCAAGCTCTTCAGCAGAGCCCGAGGACGGCCTATTACATTAAGGGATGGCCGCCGAGTACAGGGGCCACAGCCGGTCCGAGACGCTCATCACGTCATGGGCTATCCGTGGTTAAAGGCGGATATGAAAGCAAGAGTCCGCCGTTCTAACCAAATGGTGCTCAAGGCGTTGAAGAGGGGGCATGAAGATCGGCGGGGTAGCAAGGTCTACTGGTCCTGCGAGCATCCTCGGCGCTCTTGGATGTGGGAATTCCGCCTGGTGAAGGAGATGGAGGCCTGGCCCGAGATGAAGTACTCAATCGCCTCGCATTGTTGCTTTGGAGGGGAGAGGGTAAAGTGGTTCGCAATCCTCAGTGACCTCCCCTCCTTGCAGCGGCACCTGTCCATGGACTGTCCCGGGCACCCGGGCTTGCGTTCTTATGAAGTTGAGGAGCTTCCAGATGGGACTTTGCGGTTTGACACCGAGGAAGAAGCAGAGTATCCATGGGAGATGTGTGTGGCCTACGCTCGAGCCGTGAGGGAGCAGATCGAAGCAGATGGTCAGTTTGAAGCGGCTGTAGCGGAGGCGCGTGAAGCCCACTTTCTGGAGGAGATGGCCCTTGCAACTAACCGTCTGGCTGATGCCGACGTGGCGGGCCCCATGGCTGAGAGTTTGGCTTTGAAGGAGATCTACATGATCAAAGGGCGAGAGAAGGAGCATTTGTCCTCTCTCTTGAGGCATGCCACGTATCGTGGCTCCGATGTGAGGTCGTTCTTGGAAGTGGACGGTCAGATGCATGAGCAACCTTATTTGGCCACCAGGTGGCAATGGAGGACAGTTATGTCCTATGCATGGCGCCAGGAAGCCCATATCAATGAATTGGAGCTTCTGGCAGTCGCTGTTTTCTTGAAGAGGAGGGCCAGGACCCGGGCCAAGCAACACCTTCGGTTCTTTCATGTGCTGGATTCGATGGTGTCCCGTGGGGTGCTGGCAAAAGGAAGAAGCAGTTCTCGAAGGCTCAATAAAGTGGCTCGTCGGTGCAGTGCCTACATGTTGGCGATGGACAACTACATGTTTCCGCTTTGGACCATCAGTCGGTGGAACTTTGCGGACAAGGCCAGTCGAGCCCATGAAACGTAGCAAACGAAGCCTGCAGTACGCAGGCCTGCACCCGCGGACTCTTCGAGCCTACCGAACTGCTTTGGATCGATTCCTCAAACACGTTCAACGCAAGCGGCTTAGCATTTCCAAGCCCTGGAAGTTGGACCAGCAGGTTGCTGAATTCATTGATCTTTCTTACCAAGAGGGAGAGCCAATGAGCTACTCGGGTCACCTCTTGTCGGCACTGAAGCGGTTTCACCCAGCCTTGCGTCTGGAGTTGCCGGTTGCAAGTCAGTACTTTCGAAACTGGCAGCGCTGCTATGTTCCTTCACGGGCGCTGCCGGCTCATTGGGAGCTAGTGGAGGCCATGATGGGCTTGGCTCATGCGCAAGGGTTTCATGAATTTGCGCTGCTGCTCGCCCTTGGCTTCAACGCCATGCTGAGGACGAGTGAGATGCTCTCGCTGACTCACCAGCACTTGGTCCCCCATCGTCATGGCAAGGGCATGAGCCTCATCATCCCGGGCAGCAAGACGTCGCAAGGCAATCCACAAGTCCTGTTGGTGCTGGATGCTGAGTTGATTGGTTATGCCACTTCACTGCGTCGTCCGGGCGAGAGGTCTTTGTTGTGGCCTGGCGGGGCGCATCGGTTTCGCCAACTGTTCGCCGCGCTACTTCGGCGCCTGGGCTTTGCTGAAGACGACTACACCCCGTACAGTTTGCGCAGAGGAGGGGCTACATGGTTCTTTCAGTCCTCCTTGAGTCTGGATGCCACTGTGGCCCGTGGTCGTTGGTCTTGCAACAAGACCGCAAAGCAGTACATCGATGAGGGCACTTTTCAGCTGGCCCAAGTCTCCTTTACCCCTGTGCAGCGTTCCAGGATTCGGACATGGCGTTTGAATTTTCTGCGGCTGCGCCAGGGAGGCAGGAAGCGGAAAGCGTGAGTCCTTTCTTTTTTTCCTGCTAGAGGTGGAGTGGTGAGGCCTTTGAGAGGCACGAGCAGGTCATGCAAGATGGCT